TCCGGAAACAGTCCAAGTGCTACTATGTGGGGGTGATTGGTGTCGCTATCGAAACAGATTGAAGAAAGGGAGCAAAGTAAGTTCAATTCAATAAAATTGGCTCCGTTTGGTTCACAATTTTGTGTTTTTGGGAAAAGTTTTTTGAAAAAAGTTAAAAAAAAAGTTGAATTGGGCGGGTATTACGATGTAGGATTTATAAATTGCTAAATACCCCCTATGTTTGTTTTTTTACAAAACACCCCTTATAATAAAACATTAAAAGTTAACAAAAACACCCCCAATCCACCCTCAAATACGGACAGCCGGCCACCACCGCCGGAGGGTGGCCGGAGTCGCCGTAACAAAAACATTAAAAATATTTAGGGGTATTTAATTGAAAGCCTAAATTTAGGGGGTTTAAAAATATTGAATAAAGTTGAATAATATTGTGAGTTTTTGGGTATTTTACTGTTTAACTTTTTTGGGAATACTAAAAGTAGTATTCCCAAAATCTAACCAAACGAAGCCATAAATATTTTCTAGCTCCTTTATTTAGAATTGTCTTTTATTGTACTTTATGTTAAACTTTTTTATTTTTTCCTATATGTATTTTAGTGAGATATAGCCGATGAAGATTACGCTTCTTGTCCCTTCACTGAACGTAATTAGGATATGGATTGACAACTTATGATATGTGGTATCATCAACTTATGATCCTCCAATATTTTGTTTCTAGCTAGGATGTGTGGTTTTGTTCTTGGACATTGAGAGGCAGCAGCTAGCATACGGGATGAGATGAATGTTATGCAGCTTATGGCCTTATGCTATTTCATGATATGCTACTTGATGATGAATTGATGATGAATGATATTAACTTATTATCACTCTTATATTTCTATTTATTATGTAATGGCTGTTTGAACTTTGATGTGAGTTAGGTTGCAAATACACAACAAATTGTGGTGGGGAAATCTGTCATCAAGCACTATTGTTTTTTTCATTTTTTTTAGATGAGCTCGAAATCGAGTTCAAACTCGAACTCGAACTCGAACAAAACTCGATTATACAAACTTGAATTCGAACTCGATTTTCAATTTCAAATACCGAGTTCGAGTTTGAACTTGATTTCTTAGGCTCAATAAGACTCGAACTCAAACTCAGTACTGTAGCGATAGAGTCGAGTTCAATTTAGCAGATACTCGACTCAATTCAACTCGATTACACCCCTAGTACTAACTCTAGTTAAATATAAAACCATAGTTAAGTCTTCTTTTAGTAAACTCTAGTTGAAGATTAGTTTAGACTTTAGATATAAAAGAGTCAATGTTGTAAAGTGGACATTAGACTTGAATGATGAGTTAAACGAAGAAAGTTCTTCTCCAGAAAGTTTCTTCTTTCTCTGTTTATTAGTTCCTTCTCTGTTTGTTATAGTTAAGGTGCACCTAAATTGGTCGGACACTCCTAGTCATCTAAAAAAAAAAAAAAAAGATTTAACTTAATGCAGTTAGAACCACAATTGTTTGCATGATGTCTTAATGTAACAATTTATATAGATAGAATCGTGATTGTTTATATAGTAGATGGGTGCAACCATCTAAAATTTTAGAATGTTTTAAGATGTTTACTCTGATACTTTTATTTTGAGGATAGATTTCATATTAATATATTTATTATACAGACATAAAGCATATTTTATATCTAGAACCCTAAACAAAAATCCTGAATCTCCTACTAGAAGGCATGCCTTTCAGGTTTTAAATATTAACAAGACCTTTAGGAATTAGGAGTGTTGTCCCATAACAAGTTAATGACATTACTTTTATTTGCAGCTGGGTATATGCCCAACAGTATTTGACTTGTACAACTTTGTTTTGGAGAAAATTGGCGCCCACTTAATGATTGTATTTGTTAAACTGTAATTTTTTCATTCTTATGAGGGACTTCGGCTAATTAAACAGTCAAAGGCACAGGGACCTGTGCTTGAGGTTCTAATCTTCAATAGCTCTGTCTATATAGCTTCTCTTACCTTTCCCTTTCAGGAAAAGAGCAACTTCTATTTACAAATGAGTAATGCTACATGTATAAAGAAATCTCACAAAGATTTATGTACAAAGTGATGTTGCAAGAAATGAATGAAAGAGTGAACACAAAAAGTCAAACTCATTATATTTACTCTTCTATTCATTTTTTACCACATCACTTTGTATATAAATCATTGTAAGATTTCTTTGTAAATCTAGCATTATTGTTTACAAATTTAGGTCTCAAATCAAACTGATTGCAAATCAACAATTTCTATTAAGAATTTGACAGAAGGCCCTTGACCAGAAACGGAACCAAAATGAAGAAACTGAAAATGTTCTTACATTAATTGAATGCTTTGGCTTTTCTACAGCATAAACCTTGTACAATTCAGAGTGACATTTCGCGTTATAAATGTGACATGAAAAAAAAAAAAAAATCATTATATATTGTACCGATGTGTTCCGTATATGACTCATTTGAAGAAAATTCATTCAACCCCTCGATATGTTCCCTTTGAGAAATCTCACATTCTCTCTTAAAGCCAACTTTTTCTAAGTGTTTACATAATAGTCACACTGCAAATTCTGTAAAAATTCTTCATTGCTTATCATTGAGGAGCCATTCTGATACAATACTGATCTTTCATGTACAAGGCTACAAGCTTATCAAGCCCCTAACGCTCTAAATGAAGAGAAATAGTTAAAGTCCTAAACTGGATCAATAGTAATACTGAGATATTACAACACTGCACCATTCTTATAGCCCAGTGGACTAGTGAATATCATCTCAAACAAGCACACATCAGAAACGCAGAAACAACAAATGCGCAGCCTCTCTGTGAGTTTTGAGATAAGAATCTTTGAACAGATGAAAAGGGTAGAGGCGAAATTGCCTCCTTGAAAGCTGGCCAACACTGCACAATCAGCACAAGCTTTTAAAGAACTCAGCTTGTAATGGGGGTTGTTTTCGAAGGGCAGCTCAATTGGAGTTGCATTTCCATAAAATTCTTCTAAGTTGTAAAAAGCTCTCTGATCTGGAAGAAATATGTGGATAACGACATCACCTGAAATTAAGAAAAGTCAACAGAACTCAGTTTTCTCAGCATACTGAAGCTAAATGTCTTAAAAAGGATCTTATAATTGTGCTTTGGGCATCCTGGTAGATGACCATAATTTTGTTCAATTAGAAAGAATTGCAACCAATTAAACTGAAAGGTTTTTACAAGTTTAACCCGTGACAGCAAATGAATCTTGAGAAAACTAAAAAGGAGCCTAACTCACGTATCTCATGGAACTTGTCAATCAACTTCCAGGTATAAACAATAGAAATTAGAAAATATGTAAAACTATAAAGCCACCAGTCATTAAGGTGCCATGGAAAAATTTGAATTTCAGATTAAAACATTAAAAAGTAGAGCAATTATCATTGTGTATTGTATTATTTTGGTATGTTTATTGCATCTCCGAAACCTCTAGAGATGACTAAAATCACACACCAAATAATATATTCTTCCTTGCAGCCCACTTCATTATGATTGAATAATTGATAGATAAGGAAGCACAAAAATAAAGTAGGTCATAATAGATGGTACTAATACTAATGGCTTCGTTTGGTTGGATTTTGGGAATATACTTTTAGTATTCCCAAAAAGTTAAACAGTAAAATACTCAAAAACTCACAATATTATTTAACTTTATTCAACATTTTTTAAACCCCTAAATTTGTTAATTCAATTAAATACCCCTAAATATTTTTAATATTTTTGTTACGGCGACTCCGGCCACCCTCCACGGTGATGGCCGGCTGTCCGTATTTGAGGGTGGATGGGGGTATTTTTGTTAACTTTTAATGTTTTATTATAAGGGTGTTTTGTAAAAAAAAAAACATAGGGGGTATTTTAAATTTGTAAATCCTACATCGTAATACCCGCCCAATTCAACTTTTTTTTTAAATTTTTTCAAAAAACTTTTCCCAAAAACACAAAATTGTGAACCAAACAGAGCCAATATCTTTCTTCACCAAGATCAAATGGATAGCTAAGGTTCAAAGGTTACAGAGTCACAAGCACAGTGATTTTATCAAACTCCACAACTATTGAGGGCTGATAATCATGTAAGGACACTCACCAAAATCCAAAAGGGTCATGAGGGGTTTTGAGTCCCAGATGGGATCCTTCCATACTTCTTTTCAGCTAGATCTTTTATTCTGGATCTGTATTGCAAATTACAACAGAAACAAAATAGAAAAAGTCAGTTCAAGCACGCTTGCACTCTAGACTGATTATAAACAATTCCAACTAAGACTAAAGATCATCAAGTCAAAGTTGATGTACCCAATAGCATCAATCTGAGGGCGAGAAAACGCAGTTGCAATGATAAAAAACCGAGTCCAATACACAAGAGGTTCACAAAGAGAACTTTTATGTCTGCAGCCTTCACGTCACTTGCAACCGGGCCATTGCCACAGCACTACAGAATGGAGGAAACCATCAGTTGGCGTATAATTAGCCAATATTTAATTTTGGCCAAAAGTGAGGGGGACAATTCACAAAGGAAAGTTTTGGAGCAAAGCTTCAGTAATACAACTATCACTTGTTAGGAGTAACCAGTATGGCATAGATGGACGCCTTGACTGGGAAGGGCATGACATATGTAGCCAAGAGCAGAATGTGAAATTAATTACAAAGCAGTAGGTCAAAAGAAATCGTGGAAGCTTCAGAGCAGTGAGAATGAGAATTTTGGAAGGTACTAAATATACTCAGTATAGAAAACAACAAAAAATTTAGACAGGGTGACATGCTTGCTACACTCACTGTATGCTGACAGTTTAACTATGAAAATCCCTTTCTCTAAAAAGGGCCATTGGTGTCAGTTGTGAAAAAGTGAAGCTCATAACATAAAATGTAAACAATTCTGTCAAAATGATAATTTATGTCATGAATTTAGCAACAACAATCAAAGTAATACTAGCAACACAAAAACAATGGAAATCATCATCTAAAAGGGAATGTAATAATGAAGCAAAGCTGATTTTGTCTTAAGGCTAAAAGTGATGGGAATTACAAACATCATGCACATTTTATGCTGACAAGTATTTGAATAAATTGTGAATGAATTACATGATAAGCTTTCAGCGTCATCATCAACTTCAGCACTTGGAAGCTTTTGGTCATTTCTCCTGAATACAACTTCTCCATATTTTTTAAACAAGTCATCAAACATTTCATCAGTATCTTCACTCAGATTCTGCAATATATATCAAGCAAGTCATGTTACATCCCTTAAAAAACATATACAAATAATGATTTGTATGCAGAATTTCTAATTGAATGACAGAAAAATAATAAAAAAATAAATCTTCACAACTAATATACCAAATCTAGTTATCTATTTCCTACGGTACAGTTTATAAAAGCATTGTTTTATGGTACTGCAGCTTCAACCCAGAACCAAAATCATTCATAGAGCCTATTGTTTTAATGGCACCCCAGAGCCTCCTCATCTGACCACAATACAGAACAGTATTTTTATATGGTTGAATCCATTTTCTTGTAAACTACAAATGCATTAATTCTCAAATCCTAATCTGAAAAGTGATCTTCCATTTCATTGGCTTGTTCTCTCATGCATATGTAATGTTTTTTGACCTAAACAGTATAACGAATAAAAGCAATAGGTTTCAGTGTTGTTAAGTACTACTTTTGCTTCACCTAAATGAAATGGTTCCTACATACATCATGTCTCACTGGACTGAAAACACTTTCACGTCAACTTATGAGTTAATAATGGACACTAACAAACCATTTACATAAATTTCTTTGAACAATGCAAATGAATGGAAGATAAGATCATACCACAATAATATCCAAATCATTCCACTTCAAAGAGAATAAAATGGAATGATAGAGAATGGATATTTATTCCTTCTTCTTCCCCAATACTTCAGTTCCTCTTACACAGCAAAAGAAAATTTTCAACTTTAAGTTCTCATAAGGAAAGTTTGAAAACTAGAAAGAGCAAGGGAGAAGTATGTCAAACATATAGGTCATTCATAAAATTTCCTCTAAAATGAGGAAAATACAATCCCAAGACAACTATTTTGATTCAGTTAAATTATACCTTCATACAGGCAAACTCATAAGAACACAAGACAAAATATCTTATATAATCCCTTTCTTCCATTATCACAAGTCTTTCATCACATATTAGATTCAGCATGTTTGTCAGTTGTGATCACATATCAAGGAACTCAAAACAACATTAATCATGTCATTAAAAGATTCATTTATATTCTGATAACAAAATATTTAATTTCTCCAATATTCTCAGCATAAGAGTCTAAAAAATAAACAAAGAAATCATCTTTCTTAAATTAACTTTAGCTTCCTCAGCAATTTAAGCCAGCTGAAACTGAAAAACAAGAACTAGAAGTACTATACCGAAAGAGAGCTATCTTCAGCATCTTTTCCATAAGCAAAATGCAAAGGAAATTCTCTAGGCTTAAAATTCTTCAAGTTTTTGCTTCTGGGTACTTGCCAAAAGCACTTGTAATTCGGCAAACGGTGCCCATAAATACAATGTTTTCTGGCTTCGTGAGAGAGCTTGGTTTCAACACGACCCAGTTGCTGGAACTCACCAGAAAGTAAGGTGCCGGCACCGACGCCGGGGATGGATAGAGTGGTGGAGATGGGCATTGTTGCTTCTGATAACTGATAAGTAATGAAAGTGGCAGATTTTTGAAGATTAGAAAGATACTCTTTTTTAACTTCTAAGATATTATAACAGGTGAGATGCTATAGCTGAGAGCCTTAGACGTCTCCTGTAATGTGCTGGACCGCTAATTAGGCCCAAACTTTTCTTGCCTTCGGTCCATTATATGATACCTCACCTCGGTTCAAATTAGAAAAAGAAAGTGATTTTCAGTTCCCAATTATTGACAAATTTAACCTTAAAGAAAATTACTAAAATAGACGTTATAAATTCTAATTATACTCCTACTATATTTATATTTATTTTGTTTTACTCATCAACCTTTAATGTTTATATAAACCTTAATCTAAATTTTCATAATCAATTTCATAATCCACCTCTTTCTCCAAAATATCAAAGAAACGTATGTCTATTTGAAGGACTATCTTATCAGTGAAAAATCATTATATTCTTGAAAATAAACCAAAATTATATGCACTATATTGTAATTAATCATTTACTAATGAGAGCTAGCTGGTGTGGATCACCCCAATCAATACATAACTTCGCCCTGCCAAAATGTCATTTATGTTTGTAATGAAATTAAATTATCTTCCCCATCCACGGTATTATTTATGTTTTTAAAATTAAGCAAAATCCGATATTAAATTTAACTTTTATTATGAGAATATTTTATTATAAAGAGTAAACGACATATTCCCACCCGAGGTTTAGTGAAATCCTAACTTAATGCCCCTGATTTCATGTATTCCAAATACATACCCTTAAAGTAATAGAGTTAGTGACTGTTGGGTTTTGACGGGTGATATTATCAAATTGCCCTTTCACCCAATTCCAAACGCCCACCACATCCCATTCTAAACCACCCTATCCCAAATCACCACCATAGCCAACCAAACCACCACCACAGTCGACCAAACCACCTTATTTTAAATCCCACAACTAGCCAAAGCACCCCATTCCAAACCACCACCACAGCTTATTCCAAACCACCCCATCCCAAAACCACCACAACCGGCCAAACCACCTCATTCCAATTCCAACAGCCACCACAAAAAATCACACCATTTCAATAAAAAACCAAAAACAAAATAAAAACCCTATGGAGTGGGGGCTTCAATCGGCATTGAAAGGTGAGAAATTGGGGACGAAAAGCATGGGGTTATTGGAGAGGGCTCTTTGATGAGTCGAATGGTGGGCTCGATGAAGATTTTCGGTGATGGGGTTGGCTGGAAAGAAGCTGGCAGAGTGCAACACTTGAGGTGAAGGGTGACGACAGAAATGGGAGTCATGGTGGTCGCCCAGGGGGGGTTGGGATGGTGAGGTGCCAGGGAGTCGGAAAATGGGGTAATGGGCAATTTATGTCACCGAAAAGTACCAAAAAGGGGTCGGGGACTACCGATGAATGGCGAGCTGGTGCGGCTAGGGGGTGATGGGGTTTTGATGAGGGTAGGGGGATGAAGCCGGTGGTAATGGAGGGAAAAATAAGAAGATGGGATGAGGAGGTACGGAGGGAAAAAGAAGAAGATCGGAGAAGGAGGCGGAGATAAGGAAATGGGAAGGGAAGAAGAAGAAGAAGATGAGAGGAGGTAGCGGAGATGAGGAAGAAATGGGAAGGGATGAGAAAAAAATTACCATTTTACCCATTTACTGTTAAAATAATGAAAATTGTGTTACTTTACGGGTGGGTATTTGAAATAAATAAAACTAGGGTATTAACTTGAAGTTTCGCTAAACCTCGGGTGGGAATATGTCATTTACTCTATTATAAAAGAAAAAAAAAAAATTCTTTGTGTCCACTTAATAACCCTAATTTGGAGTTCGTTATTTTTTAGTCCTTGTGATTTCAGTTTATTACCATTTAAGAATAAAGGTTTCAAATACTAGAGTTTTGGTCCTTCTAGATTCAAAATACTGTACTACTATTTTAGTAACTAAATTTAATAAAATGTTAGTTGATTGTTAAATTTATAATGAAATAACAAAAATGCCCTTTTCATAAAAAAGAAAAATTACTTACACACATGACACTAAATTAAATAGACACATTGCACGCTACAATTTCAAATTAAGTAAACACATTATAAACTCCATATTCATCATATTCATATAATTTTAATTTTCAATATATATAAAGTAAAACCTCTCTATAGTTATAATGGTAGGACTAACTAATTTTATTACTATGAGGAGATTATAACTTAATGGAGGTCTAATTACAAAAATTTCTTCTTTCATAATTCATGTTTTAATAGTATTAAGGTTTCAATTCAACGCTTTAATTACCTACTTTTAAAATGGTTAAAAGATTGTGTCTTGAAACCAACAAAGATAAGTGTTGATGATGGATTTGTAAATAAAGTTGTTGTATGGTCAATTGATGTGAAGCCACACACAGTTGCTGAATATTTTAAGCATTGCAAAATTTAGGACCCTCATGTCGATGAATTGCAAGTTACAAATGAAGTGGATGAGGAGAATCAAAGAGTCGTTGTAGAATTAAGTGAATAGATTTGACAAGTTTACTACACTAATCGAATGAATATTAATGTCTTCCTCAATCATCCAAATGAGCAACAAGCCAAGTATGCTTTAACTGAATAAGAAATCATTGCTACAATTAGACAAGAATAAAAATGAAATAATCATGAAGATGATAGTACGAAAATACAAAAAGTTTCGTGCCAAGAAGCTCTAAACATACTTGAGAAGGGATAAATCTTTTGGCTTCAATAAGAAAATGTCCATGCTAGTGAGTAATATACCCGCAAGTTAAAAGATGTGGTAACAACTCTAAAATATAAATCATACTCCCAAACAACTTTAGATAAATATTTTATTTCATCTTAAACTTTGAATATAATATAACATTTTTTTTTTTTTTGTAATATATAGATAATTATTATCATGTTGAGGCAACTTTTTTTAAGACGGGAATTAAAAATATAATTTATTACAATATAAAGTTTATTTTTATTTATAATTATCCCAAATTAGGAATATAATTTTTTATGACTATATAGAGTTTATTCATATACAAAGTATCATTATAGAGAGATTTTACCGTATATCATACACTTTTAAAATCTATTATTTTATCAATATTTAATAAAATTTTAATATTAAAAGAGAGTATTTTTATAGTTTCAGTATAAATTTAATAGTTAATCTTTTATCGAGTCAAAAGACTAATACAATAATATTTTGAAACAATAAAGACCGAAATTTACCATAAAACTGAAAGAAAAATAAAAGGTTTTTCGATGCTTTATTTATTTGTTTTCTATTTAACAGTAATTTATCTTTGCAATTATGAACACAAGAAAAGTCACACTCAAAAGATGCGTAAAAGTTGGTTTTGATTTGATAAGTCAAAGTCTCTACAGTGGTAGGTCATCTCACTTACAAATGCGAAGCAAACGTTTAATCTCCGTTTTGAAAATTGAAACTGATCAAACCGAGAATCGAGGGTTAACCGGACCAGTCAGGGCTAAAAACGAGTGAGAATAATTATTTTTTTACCAGCGATTCAACCAAGGTTATTGTAGCAAACTATCATCCAATCGATCTTGTGACAAAACTGGATTACTACAATTATAACCTCTCTCTCTCTAGCGTATCAAATATACTTTCCACCAATGTTTCGAAAAACAGACCAGATTGCATGATTGAACCGGTCAAACCGGGTTTTGGTGAGGTTACTAGTTCAAAAAGAGTAAAAAACTGGGATTTGGCATTGGACCGCTTTAAACCGCTATTAGACTGTCTTACTGTAACAAACCGACAGTCCAACCAATGCAACACCCAAATCCGGTCCACTAACAAAACCCAAAACTAAACCAAATTTTTTTAACCCATTTTTATTTGCTATTTGCGATTGTATTTACTTTTTGGTTTGCCTCCTCCACTCCAGTCCTCCACCTCAAAACATTTTTGAATTCCTCACATTTTCACATAAATAAACCAAAATAGCACTTTCTAACATCATTTTTTCCCCCACTAAATAAGAGTGTTTGACCTGCTTGATGACATGATCGTTGAATTTGTCGAGTGACGCCAAGAGGGCAAAGACTTCTTTTACCATGTATTTATAAAATGTGTGCAACAAGATTATATTAATTATCTTTTTAATATTTTAGTTCTAATATGTGTATCAAACTTTGGTTATCTAGGATATTAAAAACAAATAAATAAACTCAGGTGGTTTTAATCTTTAAAAATCCTTCAAAATTGTGGTTACTTCTTCTTACTTACAACATTGATCTACCACAACGACCACGTATATATGTAAATAATTGATACAAATATTTTCTACAAACTGGTATGGCAACCCTACATATTTGATATATAATTTCTTCTAATTTAATTTTTGATTTTTGATTTAAAGTCATCTAACCATTTTTTAACATGTCAATTTGTATAAAAGTTTATATATAAAATATTTTACCTAAGATAGAAAAGGGATGAGTAGGTAAATACTTACCATCCTTTCCAAAAGTCATCACCCCTGCTTCTAGTTTCAACTGGCTGATGGTGATGTTGGGTGTATCTAGCATCCTCCTTGGTGGGATAACCAATGGGGGGTGGTGCAGTCACATATGGACCCTCAGCCGGCTGTGGCGGTGGATAAGAGTGTGGTGGTGGAGGATATACCACTGAAACCCAATAATCAAATCATACCATCATTAGCCCCTTTATATGATATATATATATTTAATAAAAAATTCTCAAATGCAAACTTAAAATCCGAACCTCAATTACATACTGTTAAAAGACAAAAACTAAACTCATACATCTCAGAATTAACTTTTACTAAAGAAAATTAATCAGCTTCAAATATTAAAAATCAATCAATCAATCAATCAGGACGTTTGGACCAGAAAGTGAAGATGGGATTGATTGAAAAAGGAAATTGAACCTAAGAAAACAAATCTAGCTCTAAAAAATGGATGACTTACCAGGAGCTTGTTGGTGATCATAGTGCGCCATGACTAAGTAAAGAATGATATATTTAGAATTGGTGGTGATATTTTGAACAAGTGATAAAGCGTGAAGAAGTTGAGC